TAGAGCTCAAAGCATTGTTAGAGACCCCATACACCCACTTCACAGTCTGTTTCTGTTGCTCCCCTCTGGGAGGAGGTTTTGCAGTATATCTAGCAGGTCTATCAGATTCTGTAACAGCTTTGTTCCATATGTCATCCATCTGGTAAACTCGACATCCTAAAATTGCAAAAATTGGGACAACTGCTAGACATCAGACTAAGACATTTCTGTCCTTTATTTGGAGCGTCGCCTGGATTCTTGCAGTCAAATATAGTAGAGCCAGGGTTTGGAAGTATCAGTGGTGTGGAAGTTCCCTCAATGATTTATTATTTCCTGGGAGCTCCTCAGAAAGCAACATGAAACATTTGTCATTACAGGCCTGGCTAAATATTCAGGATTCCAATTTCAAGAATTGGTGACACACCAGAGGAGTCTGAATTCATTATAGATGTAGGATGTTGTTGTTGTTGTTTAACTTCTTCAGAACCAGATTGAACAGGAGAAAACAATTCCAGCTGCCATCTTTGATCATTGCTATGATCAAATTTTAGAGCAGTGGTCATGTGACTGGCACTTTCATTTGACCTAGTGGGGTTCCAAGCCAGAGGTTGAGGCAGAAGAGCCAAAATCTTTGCTCCCTAGAGAAACAGCAATGAGAGAGAGATGGTTTCAGTCTCTTTGAGCTGCCAGCCAGTTCTCTGTTGCTACTCGGTTAGCAGAGAAGGACTGAAGAACAATAGAGAATGGGCTGTCAAAAGACAGATCCAAGAACAGAATGGTGGGAGGGAGAATGCTGAATAGATGTTCCCTACACATGTTTACAAAGAGAGGCATTGATATCCCACTATGCTGGGTGCCTCTGAGGTCACTGGCACAGAGGGATGTGATAAAAGAATCACTGTCAGTGTAACAGCCCCAGGACAGAAGGAATTTCCATTGGAGGGTTATGGAAATCAGAGATACTTACTCTGATGTTACAAGTTTCCATCTTTCTGGTAGCGGGAAAATATCTGGGCATGGGATGCAGCAAGATGTTAAGATAAAATACTATCAGTCACAGTGGTGGGTTGCAGGCGGTATGCCCCGATACGGGCATACCAGTGCCTGCTGGGAGCACTGGGTACCGTTCCAGTACGATGCTCCGGACGGCCCACCTGCCCGCCCTCATTCCTTACCTGTATTTGAAGAAAACGGGCATGAGCAGTGTACGGTGTCTACTCAATGCTCTGCTGAGCAGCTGTAGCATCGTGGAGGTGTTGTGGAGTTTCGCAGGAGGTAAGGACCCATGCGAGTGCTGCGTGCGTATGCGCACATGATGCATTCATTCATGTGGTGGTCGCAGGGCCCAGGTGCACCATACCGGTTGCAATGGGATCCAGAACCCACCACTGATCAGTCATAAAAATACCCCAATTTCTATTGTTTGCAATCTACATGCCATAAAATGCTACAAATGTTGTTTGGCAGAAGATGGATCCAGATGTTCTGGAAGACTTTAGGGCAATTTTTAAAAAATCAGGTTTTCTCTCTCTCCCCTTGACTTTTTCAACATATAATAACAATAACCACAAAGCTCCCTCTAACCATGCCTTATCTATACCTATACCTATACCTATACCTATACCTATTATCTCTCTCTCTCTCTCTCTCTCTCTCTCTCTCTCTCTCTCTCTCTCTATCTATCTATCTATCTCTCTATCTATCTATCTATCTATCTATCTCTATATTTATATCTATCTATAAATACTAATGCTAGCTAATATAAAGAAAAAGAAAAGAAAAAGAAAGAAATCAAAGAGAAATCTAAAGTTTAGGAAAGAAAAAGTAAAAAAATAGAAAAGAAATAAGATACAAAAAAATAGCTTTCAGAAAATGCTATATAGCAATTATAAGTACAATTATACATTTATCTCTTCCTGTATGGTTGCAACATAACTTTCTTCTTTATATAATCTATTCTGTCTAGTAATCAAAATCATAACTCATATGTTCATTTTTTTCTGTTCCATACAAAAAATCTACAAATGGTTTCCTGTCAGCAAGAAACATAGATTTTATCTATTTGTTGATCAAAGAAGTCAATTTTGCCATTGCAGCAAGTTCCATCATTTTTATCAGCCATTCCTTCATTGTAGGTAATACTGAATCTTTTCAGCTTTGTGCACATAATAATCTCGGTGCAGTTATCATGTACTGTACATAAAGTTCCACATTTTTTTTCAAATTATGTTCCCATCAATCCCAAAAGAAAAACCTAAGGACCTATTTGTATATTAATGTTTAAAATCGTCTGAATCCGTGTGTGTATTTGAATCCCAAATTTTTTATACATCTACAAAACATGATAAAATGTCCATTCTTCTTGTTCACATTTCCAACATAAATTTGAAGTGTCTTTATGCCTTCTAAACAATTTTTCTGGTGGTATGTACCAATGGAACATCATTTCACAAAAAAATAATTTAAGATTAATGCATAGTGTAAATTTCTCTCCTTTCAGTCAGATATTTCCCATTGATCTCTCTTTATATTATAACCAAATATATTAGCCTACTTTATCATTCTTTTACATGTTCTTCTTTTGTTTCAAATTTCAATAAAATTTTATACACTTTAGCTCATCACTTATACATAATTGTATTTCAAACTAAATTGTACAATGTTCAAAATCACAATTATCTCATCTATTTTTTCCAGTAATTGTAAATAAGAGAACCATTTATAACTCTATTTCTCTGCCACCAGTTTTTCTTTTGATTTTATTTCATATTCCTTTTAAAATTAGTATCTCGTGTTAAACTAGCCTTTATTTTTGTCTATTCTTTCTAATCTATAAAATGCTTCTTGTGCAAAGAGCCACAAATGTGTTTTCATATTTATCATAAAATTTATTTATTCCATACTCTCAATTGACAGATCTACTATAATGTTTTTAAAATCCATATTAACTTTGACTTTATTGTATCATAAATATCCACACCCCTCATATTTTTAATTGTGTGTTTCTAATTCCAAAAATCTATTTCTCAGCAACACCCACTCATTCATTCAAACCAGATAGGAAGCTGCAAATCGCATAAACCCAATTGTCCTCTTTCCTTTGCATTTTGTAATGTCTTATATTTAACTCATGTTTCTCCCCATGCAAATTTAGATATATCCTTCTGCCACTGCTTAAAAGCTGCATCAGTTGTCAAAACAAGTATAATTTGAAACAAAAATATTATTCTAGGCAAGACATTCATTTTTATCATAGAAATTCTCCCTAGCAATGACAGTTTCTCCCATCACAACATAATCTTTTAAAACTGTGTTCCATGTCTTAATATAGCTACTTTGAAATAATTTCCAATTCATATTTGTCATAGCCAGATATTTTATCTCCTTCTCAATTCTAAACTTTAGTCAATGATTCATCTTCTATTTTTATGTTTTGTTAACATCTTTGTCCTCTGTTTAGTAATCTTGACACCTGCAAAAGCACCACATTCTTACATTGGCCATACATGTTTCAATTCTTTTTAACAGATTTTCCATAACCAACACCAAGTCATCTACATGAACTCTTAACTTAAACATTTCTTTTTAAAATCTTCACCCCCACAATCCCCTCATCTTGTCTTATAGCTCTATTCAATATTTCAAGAACCGAAATAAACAGGAGTGGAGACCGTGGACATCTCTGTCTTGTTTGTTTTGTAATTACAGTATCCAAATGAGTCTGCCATAGTTTTAATATCTTCAGAACACGACTCAGTGTCAGTAAATGTTTGAGCAATAAACTTACATCAATTCTTTATGTGCAAAAGTTGCAGAACTGTAGCCGTTGTTTTTCCTTCTCTTGCCCAAAGATATATTTCTTCCTATGATCTTTGTGCCTAGAACTCTATTATTGTCAGTGACCCAAACAACTACGTATTGCCACATTTGTCACTTCCTTTAACACTAAAATACAATTCTATTCTCATCTTTATTCCCAGTACATGCTGTGGGACAAACTAGACATTATTTTGAGAATGCAATCGATATATACTTCTTTACAATAAACTCCATAGAAAGCTCTTGGAGATTTATTTTCAAGCAGGCAAATGTTTTTAACATGGAGCTTATTGGATCAGAGATATAAGAAATAACCAACAAAATCAAAGCAGCTAGGGAAAGGAAAAATTAATGATTTTCTTCTACTGTGGAAAGATGCATTGGAAAATTTTAATTCTATTATATTCCTGTTGGTGCCAAACATGCATTTGTTCTCATTCATATCTTGTTATCCTTACTATCTCCTCCTTCTCCTCTATCTCTTTGTTTCTCCTTCCCTGTCCAACTAACTATGTATGCCGCAGTGGCATAGTGGTTAGAATTCAATGCTGCAGTACTGCAGCTAATTTTGCTGATTGCCGGCTGCCAGCAGTTTGGCAGTCTGGATCCTGACTGGCTCAGCCTTCCATCCTTCCGAAGTTGGTAAAATGAGGACCCAGATTGTTGGGGGCAATATGCCCACTCTGTAAACTGCTTAGAGAGAGCTGAAAAGCACTGTGAAGCACTATATAAGTCTAAGTGCTATATCTCAGGCCATGAGCTTTTGTGCTTCTTAAGTTTATAATAGTTCTCAATAGAGAACTATTTTAATAGTTCTCAATACTGCTCCAGAAAACTGGTAGGAGAGAATTTTTCATTCCCCTTTGCAAGGCTCCACTGGTGCTCATTCTTGATAAAGTATAGTATAGTAATCTAATCTATTATTTCTAATCAGCAGTATGAAATTGACCCTTGGTAGATTTTGAAAAGTATTTTGAGCCATAATTACAGTTAGCCTAGTGAGCCTCATGTAGCCCACTTGGTGCTATGTTCTAAAATGAAGTGACTATTTGACTTCATGGATTATGAGCCGAGGTGGCGCAGTGGTTAGGGTGCAGTACTGCAGGCCACTTTAGCTGACTATTCAGCGGTTCAAATCTCACCGAATCAAGGTCAACTCAGCCTTCCATCCTTCCGAGGTGGGTGAAATGAGGACCCAGACNTGCTTCGGGATGACGTAGGTCTCTTCATCTGCCCTCCTGCAGCGCCCCCTGTTGGGGGAACTTACCTGGGCCGTTTCTTTGCAAACCTGTCTTGAGGACTATAAACCTGACAAGCCTAGAGACTCAAGAGCAGGGAAGTCTTAAAAAGTAGTCCTCGACATACAACCATAACAGAGCCACGGTCGTACGTCGGGACATTCGTAAAGCAGGTCACCCACATGACCAACCCCAAGAGGTTGGTTTTTTTGCAGTGGTCGTTAAATGAACCTCTGCAGTTGTTAAGCGAATCTGTTGTTTGCGATTGGGCATTTTTGTTGAAACCTGGAAGTCAACACCAGGGTTTTTTTTGGGGGGGGGAAAGAGATTCTAAATTGTGGCCATGGGACGGCAGGATATGGTAACCAATAGGTGTGATTGCCAAGTGTCTGTTTTTGGTCACCTGAGCTCTGGGGGCGGCCTTCAGAACTTCAGAAACCGGTCGTAAGTACCTTTGGGGGTGGGGTGTCTATCATACCTTTGAACAGCCGTTAAGCAGATGGTTGTAAGTCGAGGACTCTCTGTACAGGTTGTCTATGGATGATACAACTTAGGTTGGCTGCCAATATTTTGATGGAAAATAGACTAATTTGTTTGAAATGATATAGGCTCTCCTGCTCGAGCTGGGGGTTGGACTAGAAGACCTCCGAGGTCCCTTCCGACTCTGCTATTCTGTATTCCGTAAGGGAAGAGTCGGAAGGGACCTTGGAGGTCTTCTAGTCCAACCTCCTGCTCAGGTTGGCCAATCTCTTCTTAAAAACCTCCATTGTTGAGCATTCACAACTTCTGGAGGCAAGGAGTTCCACTGGTTAATTGCTCCCACTGTCAAGAAATTCCTCCTCAGTTCTAGGTTGCTTCTCTCCTTGATTAGTTTCCACCCATTGCTTCTTGTTCTGGTCTCAGGTGCCTTGGAGAATAGCTTGACTCCCTCTTCTTTGTGGCAACCCCTGAGATATTGGACACGACTGCTATCCTGTCTCCCCTGGTCCTTCTTTTCATTAAAGAAGTTGTGCTACAGAGAGTCCTCGTTTTACAACCATTCACTTAGTGACTGCTCGCTGACTACTGAAAAAAAGTGACGTATGGCCATTTTCTACCCTCATGACCGTTGCAGCTTCCCCACAGCCACGTGCTCCAAATTCAGACGCTGGCTCCTATTTATGACGGTGCCCCTGTTCCCTTTTGCGACCTCCTGAGGTCAACAGGGAAGGCAGATTCACTTAACAACCGTATGACTAACTTAACAGCCACAGCGATTCACATGACAACCTTGGCAAGGAAAGTCTTAACAATGGCCTTAAAACTTACGCCACAATTGCCTCGCTTTAGCAATGGAGATTTTTTTGGGGAAGGGGGGGGCTCAATGGCGGTCATAAGTCAAGGACTGGCCGCCGTTCCACTGCTGCACCCGTGTTTTGCGTGTCCCCTGCAGGGCGGCTTCGAGTACAAGCGGGCCATCGTGGATTGCATCATCAGCATCATCGAGGAGAACCCCGAGAGCAAAGAGACGGGCTTGGCCCACCTGTGCGAATTCATCGAGGACTGTGAGCACACGGTGCTGGCCACCAAGATCCTCCACCTGCTGGGCAAGGAGGGGCCCAGGACCCCCACCCCTTCCAAGTACATCCGCTTCATCTTCAACCGAGTGGTGCTGGAGAACGAAGCCGTTCGAGCTGGTGAGTTTGGGGAGGGGGGCAGGGGGGGGCTCAGGCAGGTTCAGGAGAACCCGTAGCTAACGTTATGGCTGGTTCGGAGAACCTCCAAATCCCACCCCTGGCTGGCCACTCCCCTCCCCTCCTGCCAGGGGTGAGGGATTCAATTATTTTTTTTACTACTGGTTCTGTGGGCGTGGCTTGGTGGGCGTGACTGGGTGGGCATGGCAGGGGAAAGATACTGCAAAATCCCCATTCCCTCCTGATCAGCTGGGATTCAGGAGGCAGAGAATAGATGGGGGCGCGGCCAGCCACAGATGCTACTTGCCGGTTCTCCAAAGTACTCAAAATTTCCGCTACCGGTTCTCCAGAAGTGGTCAGAACCTCCTGAATCCCACTTCTACACCCCTCCCCTCCCTTCCCCGGAGTCTCCACGTGGCTCATTTTGGATGCAGAGACAAAGGATGACCTTGGCTTTCTAGAAAGAATGTTGTTATGGCTACGTGGCATCTAACTCCGTACAATCCCCCCCTCCCCTTTTCCCGCCATAGAAAAAATGCCTAGTAGAAGAATAGAAAGTGTGGGAGGCCAAAGACCCAAAAGGAAAAAATGGCTGCAGGCCTGAGAATAACCTGACGAAGCAGGTAAAATGAAGCCGTTAACCTTTGGCCTCTGACTTCCTTCCCCTGCAGCGGCCGTCAGCGCTCTGGCCAAGTTCGGGGCTCAGAATGAGAATCTCCTGCCCAGCATTTTGGTGCTCCTGCAGAGGTGAGTGCAGCCCTGCACAGACACACAGACACAAACACACAAAACCTGTATCAAACTCAATCAAAGTTTCTTCCAAATGGATTCTCTCTTTTTTGGCTGGCCAAGAATACCTTGAACGGACTCTCAAACCATCTATGGGGGGCCTTCGTCCTTCTGGGCTTTTTGGGGGGGGTTGTGGTGAATTTGGTGATCGAAAACCTGTGGGTGATTTCGACAAAGGCCCCATTTTGGTTTTTAGAGAGGGCAGAGGGCCCGTCCTCCTCTCTCTCTCTCTCAGCCCAGCCCACCTCGCAGGGTGGAGGAAAAGAGGACGACAAAAGTTCGTTGGCTATAGCGACAGCAAGAGACCTTAGACTTATATGCCGCTTCACAGAGCTTTTACAGGCCTCTCGTGTCCCCAACAATCTGGGTCCTCATTTTACCCATCTCAGAAGGACAGAAGGCTGAGTCAACCTTGAGCCGGTCAGGATCGAACTCATAGCAGCGGGCAGAATTAGCCTGCAATGTTGCAGTCAAACCACTGTGCCAACAGAGTCCTTCCTGCCTGCCTTCCTCCCTCCCTCCCTCCCTTCTTTCTCCCTCTGCCTCTCACTCTCCCTTTGCCTTCTTTCCTTCCTTCTTTCACTCTGCCTCTTATTCTCCCTCCTTTCCTCCCTCTGCCTCTCACTCTCCCTTTGCCTTCCTTCCTTTCTTCCTCCCTCCCTCCCTCCCTCCCTTCTTTCACTCTGCCTTTTATTCTCCCTCCTTTTCCCTCATTTCCTCCCTCTGCCTTTCACTCTCCCTTTGCCTTCCTTCCTTCCATCCATGTTTCGCTGTGTCTCTCACTCTCCATTTGTCTGCCTTCCTCCCTCCCTCCCTTCCCTTCTTTTACTCTGCCTTTTATTCTCCCTCCTTTCCCCTCCCTTCCCTTCTTTCCTCCCTCTGCCTCTCACTCTCCCTTTGCCTTCCTTCCTTTCTTCCTCCCTCCCTCCCTTCTTTCACTCTGCCTTTTATTCTCCCTCCTTTTCCCTCATTTCCTCCCTCTGCCTTTCACTCTCCCTTTGCCTTCCTTCCTTCCATCCATGTTTCGCTCTGTCTCTCACTCTCCATTTCTCTGCCTTCCTCCCTCCCTTCCTTCTTTCACTCTGCCTTTTATTCTCCCTCCTTTCCCCTCCCTTCCCTTCTTTCCTCCCTCTGGCTCTCATTCTCCCTTTGCCTTCCTTCCTTCCTTCCTTCCATCTTTCGCTCTGTCTCTCACTCTCCATTTGTCTGCCTTCCTGCCTCCCTCCCTCTCTCCCTTCCCTCCTTTCCTCCCTCTGCCTCTCACTCTCCCTTTGCCTTCCTTCCTTCCTTCCTTCCTTCCGTCTTTCGCTCTGTCTCTCACTCTCCGTTTGTCTGCCTTCCTGCCTGCCTCCCTCTCTCCCTTCCCTCCTTTCCTCCCTCTGCCTCTCACTCTCCCTTTGCCTCCCTTCCTTCCCTCTTAAGACTTATATACCGCTTCACAGCCCTCTCTAAACGGTTGACAGAGCCGGCATATTACTACCACCAATCGGGATCCTCAATTTACCGAACTTTGGTAGGATGG